GGGGAGGAAGGACCCAAAACTTCAGAAGTTTGCGAGACGATGCTCGTTAAAGCTCCAACAAGCATCTACCCAGTTCAAGCAGCATGTGAAATTTCTGAGAGACTAGCGCAGTAAGGATGGTCTTTTTCCTTCATCTGGGAGATCCGCAGGAATCAACAAGGATCAACACAACTCAACCAACCCCACACCAGAGTCAGAGTCATTGGCGAGTTGAAGCAGCATGGCGGATCAAAGGTTCGACTACCCAAAAACAGCAGCGGAGAGCAGTTGGGAGCCAGGAGGCGCATTGCAGCTGGAGCAGAAGATTGAAGACTCAGCAAGGGCGAAGAGTTGCAGTGTTCACAAAGGCTTCGACGAGGACGTCGAAGGGATAAGTGGGGGAGAATGTCACGGACAAACTTTGAAACAGGGTGTTTGATGTAATGCTTATATCTGTCCGTGTCTGTTGGCATGTTCATGCCTTGTACAGCGTGTAGAGGGGCAGCCGAAGGCTTATAAGTCCCACTATAGTTGGGTTGGTGGCCTCTTTAGGCTTGTAAATAAAGGTTGTGTCATGTGGACACGTGCGAGAGCTTTTCGGTCTATAATGAACCATTTTACCCTTTGTTGTGCCACTGTTCAGAGCTTGTAAAGTCTGTTTGTAATTTGCATTGTCTATGAAGTGTTTTTCGGACATGTTTGCTTGTGGATCCCAATTGAGGCGTTCTCTCTTGCCTGTTCTCTCTTTTGTTGGTCCTAAGGGACAATGGGAGTCTTCGGGGAGGCTGACCTTTGCAAACGGACACGTAAGGGTGCCGCACGACTTAGACAAAACCAACTAAGTCCGTGTCAATACGTCATTCATGTGAGTGTGGTTTGGCTGTAATTAGCAGATGGAAGATTTTGTTTGTATTCTTCAACTGCCAAGAAATCCAATGGATAAATTTTACCAATGATTAATGACATATTGTTCTGAGCAAGCACTGGCCTAGATTACTTGCTGAAAGGCTCAATATGGCATTCATGAATGATTAAATCAATTTGCAACTAATATTAGCCAAAGAGTATATACACCACCAGGGTTGTAATATTTCTACAATATAAAAATGTTTGTTTGGGAAAAACAAGGCAACGGACTTTTCTATGTTTATTGATTGTTATTGCATAGTTATAGGTGTATGTACTTAAGTGTATGATAGGTTTATTATGTGTATGAAACAAAATTCCACTTCTCTAAAGATGGCTTGAGTGAAACCTTTGGGGCAGGGCTACATATTGGTCATTCCCAGACCCCTATATTTGTTGAAGTCTTGCATGTTGGATCCTTTGATGATGACTTGAACATCTTTTCTCTGTTCTTAACATCTTTTGACCAATTGATTCTTGATGATGACTTGGTCATCTTTCAGGCTTGTCATTTTAATATGACAAAAAAGTAATGTATGGAAATGATTGAGGACTCGATGCAGTCCTTGTCAATTATTATAGATTCAATATAAGAATTTGCTTGATTAATTCTCATTATATTTTATATATAACATGTATTATATGCCTTGATGGAATTTTGATGTCTCATCATGCTGACTTACGACAAGAAGACTTTATTTTTAGATGCCGTGATATGAAAGATTAATTCTCATTATATTTTATATATAACATGTATTCTATGCCTCGGTGGAATTTTGATGTCTTATCATGCTGACTTACGACAAGCAGACTTTATTGTTAGATGCCGAACTATGAAAGATGCATGTATGTCTTTGAAGGTAGAGGTTATATTCCTGAGGTTCATCTCATTATATCTATTGATAATTTCAGTGAGGGACACGAACATTTTATTGCATAAATGAGTCACATGGTGACATGTCAGGAATAATATAGTCTTATTTCTATTTACACGGTGTTATTCTTGGCCTAATATTTTTCTCCTTTGTTTTTGCAGTTTATTCAGAACATCCATGATATCATGGCAAACAAAATGTATGAACAGTTTCGAGATCAATAGTTATCTTTCTAAAACATTTATATAATAGTTCCAGTTAATATCACATTTAGTTATCCTCTCGACTTTGTTTATTGTATGTTCTTTAATCTATATGATCAGTATTCTAGCCTTTAACATCGAAACAATTCGTGTAGACCACCGAAGGTTCGTTCTTTCTCTATCAGTATTAAGACTGGGATAAATCCCACTCGAGCGACCGGGTCCACTCGAGTGGGGCACATTTGCTGGTTTAATCTGTCGAGCGCGCGGCTTTTAAATTCGAAAAAAAGGTGGGAAAAATAGAACTATATATATCTCGCTTGCTAACCTTCCCTCCCTCCCACGGCGAGCAAAGAATAAAGCGGCTTCGGCGGGATGAAGACTGAGCGATTCGGGCTCCCTCCTCCCTCACAAGCGTCGCCTTCGCCTTGGCCGACATGTAATCCTGAAACCTCCTCTTCTCTATTGCTTATTGATCCATCGTCCGATGCTTGTTGCTTCCTAGGGGCAGCGTTTGTGCGCTTTCTGTGTTGCAGGCGCTTCTGAGAAAGTAACCCTAATATAGGCCAAGAGGACAATCGACAGAGTTATTCCGGTACAAACTAAGAGCATTAATACCCTTTAAGCGGGCATAACAGGAGTTATCCCCCTTGGTTCATTTATGTATGGTTTGAGCCTTCTACCTACAGTAAGTTCCCAATCTCCAACCTTTCTACTGCAGTTGAATAGGTCCCTACCTTTGTTCCCATTTCCAACGTCTTTAAGTTAGTACATTTGTTTCATCTTATGTAGGCTTGGATCTATTAGCACAAATGTCATCAAACAACTTAATCACCATTTCTCTTTCGATTTTGATTTCCCTGATATGTTGGTTTTCTTATGTGTTTCCTTTTTTTTTGGGGGGGGATTATTTCTCAGCTTAGCGGAAGCTACAATGATGACTTGTGATCTTTGGTGACTTCCAAGACAGAAGAAACGAATCCCAGCTGGCCTCTGCCGACGATCGGGTGATTCACGTAGTAGAGGCCGACTCGGAAACAGGCCTCGATTCTTGGAATGCGAGGTCACCAAAGTTGGCTTTGGAGCGTAACACCAACATCAAGACAACAATTCAGCTTTTTCCTGCACCCACTTGTTCACCACCGCCAATGCTCTGCAACTGAATGATTTCAGCAGATAAGCACCTTTTGATCCCTCCCAATTCTTAATCCTCACTTATTTTACTAACCTAGAGCTTCCTGTCTTCGTCTTTTTCTGTTTCAACGATGATTTAATCCTCAAGCCATCATGGATCGCCGTCGATTTGACGCCGCATCTTGAGCCTGGGTGGGCTGTCACCCTCGCGCTTCCCCCCCTCAGTGCTGGTGGGGCCCAAATGTCCCCTCCGCAAACTGGGGGCCCACTGCCGCTCTAGCATATCTCTCATCACACCCACCGCTTCCCCCACTATCCTTCCATTTAAGCCTCTTCATCCCACCTTGTTGACAGCCATATGTACTATAAGGAACTGGTCGTCTACACTATTATACCAGACTAGAAGAGTTGATGGTTCATAGGTAGGCATGATAGATGTACACAAGAGTTAAACAGGAAACAAAATTAAAGAACGGGCCCGCGCTGCGACCCTCGAGCTATGGCCAAGCTAGTAACTGCGGTCTATTGTACCGCACAGGGATGGGCCCCTCCGAAAAGAGATGCGTTGGCGATGCCAGCAGAGAGAGTAGACGTCATCGGACGGCTGAGCTGCATCTTCTGTGATAGAGTCGGCGGTTGAGGGTCATCAGCAGGCGGCGGAGGCGATGCGCCAGGCGGAGGTGGTGATGAGGGGGCGAGTGTGCCAGCCGAGGGTGAGGGAGCCGTCCTTCTCCTCAACCCGGTAGCCGTCGCCACCGGCGAAGAGGGCGAGAAGCATACTCGCCTGCTTGAAGGCGTTGGAGCCGATCGGGACGGGCTCGAAGCCGGCGCGGCCCATCCGTACCCGCCACTGGGCCAGCGCCTCGTGCCTCTCCGTCCGATCCGCCCCCTCGCAGGCCACCACGTTGCAGATCTGCCGACCCAGGTACACCTCCGACATCGCCTGGTCCCGCCGCCCGCCGCCACCGGCCGCGTCCGGCGCCGCCGAGACCCCGCCCTCCAGCGAGTCGAACATGGTCGAGTAGTAGTGCAGCGCCTCCGTGAAGCGCTCTAGGAACGTCTCTCCGTTGTGGTTCGCCTCCTGCTCCACCACAGTCACGATCCGCGGCCGCATCGCCCGGATCGTCCCCAGCACCTTCTCGAGTGCCCCTTGACGCGCCAGCAGCCGGTGCAACTCAAACACCGAGTTCACTGCCACCGCCTCCGGCTCCTCCTCGCCATCTCTGTCGCTGGCGACCGGGCCGAGCAGCATGTAGGGCTCCAGGTCCGCGAGGCTGGCGGCCACGAAGCCGCGGTAGCGGAAGTCGACGCGGATGGTATCGGCGAACTGGGCGAGCTTCCATCCCACCTCCTGCAAGGCGTCCGAGTGGTCGGGTTGGGGCGGTCCTATGCCGGTGAGGCGGAACGAGGGCGGGCCGCCGGGGCGGAGGGCGAGGGCCTGGAGGAGGGCCGGCCACTGCAGTCCCTCCCGCATCCCGAAGTCGACTACGTGGACGCGGCGGCATCCGGCGAACGCCTCGAGGATCGCCTGGTTGGCGGTGAAGTGGGCGAACTTGAGGTTGGGGCAACTCTCGTAGAAGTGTTGGTGGAGCATGTCGTCGAAGGCCGGGAAGTCGAGGGTAGATCGGCTCAAGTTCCGGGCGGGCTGCGGCCGGTAGATGCGGCGTGCGAGGGCCTCGGCGAAGTATCCTGCGACCTTGCGCATCGCGCCTCCCTGCGACGTAGCCAGCACCGTGATCTGCTTCACCAGGGCGTCGGCTGCCTTCAGGTTGTCCTGCTGCACCGCCTCTGCGCACGCCATCAAGGCATGGACGAGGCGGATCCCGGACTCCTGCGTGTCAACCACCACCACCGGCAGCACCGCCGGTGATGTCGCCGCATCCGTTGTCGACGACGACGAGGGAGGAGAGCTGCAGAGCTTCATCCTCTTCCGATCTCTCGAGGACGGGGAGACCTCGTACTGGGTGTCGGACCCATACACGATACGGCCTGCGACAGCGGGAGCGTGAAGTGGCTCGAGGTGGTAGGCGTCGGCCGGGCAGCGGGGGCCGGAGGGGACGTCCACGGTGGTGATGGTGGAATTTTGCTCTGTTCCGTCAGGGGGAAGATTGAAGTGTTGGAGGGGAGCGGGGGACAGCGGAGGCGGGGGGAGAGGGAGAGAAGGGGCATTGAACTCGGAGAGGATGGTATCGACCCAGGTGGATACGTCGGAGGGGTTATAGTGGACGGCGTCGGAGGCGAGGTGGGAGAGGAGGGCATCGTCGTTGGCTGCGACGCTGCTTCCCATGGCCATCTCCAGCTGCTCCAGCTTCTGCGCGACGTCGGCCATCTCCGTCGACCGTATCTTGTACCCCAGCGCCGCCAGCAGCTCATCAACACCACCATCGTCGGCGTCCATCCTCGCCTTCCCCTTCTCGTCCTCCGTCTCCGCCGCCTCGACGGTCTCTTGACGTTCTCGTTTCATGTTCTTTTTGACCTTTTCTTCAAGTAGCGATCGAAGCGATCGATCCGTTTCTTATTCTCCTGCGACAGGGAGCGGACGCCAGCACTAGCCGCGAGTGAAGAAGAAGAGAAGGGCGATTCGAAGGCGTCTATAGGAGTGGAGCAGGAAGAGAGAAGACGTGGGAATAAGTTGGCACAGGTTAATGGAAGGTGGGGAGTGTGTAATAAGGTGGAACAAATTAATCAGGAGGCAGCAACTGGCTCCGTTCTCTCTCACTGAACCGCGATTCCACCTGCTTTCCTCATCATCCGCCACTTAAATTACCATAATTTTTCATAATTCTTGTAAATAAAAAATAAAATAAAAGCGAGCTAAAGGAAGATAATGGAGCCGTACCGCCACTACCGCCTGATAATAGAAGTGGCTGCTATAGCACGCAGAGGCCAAGCCAAGTGCCAGTGTTACACGTGGACCCTGACGACTGGCCGGATAGTCTGATTTCCCAGCACGACTTTTGACGTCCATCCGCAGTGGAGATCTACCCAAGAAGATGATTAAGGTGAGTCCCATTCCGTCTTTTACAGCATAAATTTATATTCTCAGAAAATATATGAGACCAAATTACGTGAGAAAAAGGCCAATGTGTTCTTTGCTTTATGCTTTATAGGTGAGCAGCAGTGTATGAGCAATGGCAGGAACACCGCAGCATGGCAGGTCCAGACTACACAGCAGAGCCGAAATGGGGGGGACGAAGAGAGACGGGATGGCGTAGGTGAGGGGCCGGCACTGCCTCCCACACACACGAGGGAGAGGGCCAGCTGTCACCGTCAAGCTGAGTTGCGTCGTGGGTCCCTTGTCGACCTCCACCTCCACCACCCACCGGGGCCCGCTCCCACGCTACGGCAGTGGTGGATGCGGGCTCCCGGTTCACGGGGTGCGACGCCGTTAAGTCCTCCTGCGAATCCCCGTCGCGCCTGGTGGGCCGCGGTGACGGCATCCGTAACGGCCTCGACGGAGCAGACCACCTCGCTGTCGGCAACCTTTTCTTCCCGTCGCCTTCGAATCCATCGTCGTCGTCGTCATCATCGCCCGTTTGTTTCTTTATTCTCTCCGACGGTGATGAGCTGATCGCGAGGTATTCTTCTTTTCCCTCAACTTTCCACTTACGGTGCTGCGAGGCATCGGATTGGCCCTCTGCCTTATCCTCCCTCTCCATTCCCGATGCCTCCGGGTTTGTGACGTCGTCCCGCCCCAAACGAAAGCTACGGCATATGCCACGTGTCGAGATTCCTTAGGACGTGGGCCCACCCCCTCCATAGGTCGTCACTCTAAAAGAAAAGAGGATAATACTCTTCGTACCAGCGGACGCCGATACCCGAAGGATACCAACTCTTGGTTGGAGGTCCCCAGTGGGTCCCGGATGAACTGGCTGATAGGAGCTTTGGATGGGCTTCCGTTTACCCTGTGCGATTAACGTAGACTAATTGTCGATTCAATCGACGGGAACGGTCGCAGGGGAAACGCGAACTGTAATGAGGGCCCAAAGGAAACGGAGTTGTCTTTGCGGAAACGGGGTTCCAGGTGACAAAATAATGGAACAGAGGCCGAGGATAACGGAAATACGATGTGTGATGATGATACAGATGTGTTATAACAATAATGGTGATGTTGAGTCAGCGATAAGATATATAATTGAGTTACCATCCCATGAAGTAACCCGCTTAATGACGCATCTGGTTTGGGTTAGTTAACGAGAGATAGATTATACTTGATATTTTATTTGGTTTGATTCCTTAAACACTATGGAAAGATGGAATCAGATCGGTCAATGAATTAAGACAAGTCAAAACAAAGCATGGGTTGATTAGAATACTAATCTCTTATTTTGTTTAACATGAAATACTCAACCTGAAAAATAAAGGTGGGCTAAATCCCTAATGATAAGCATAATTTTGTCTCATGCTAATTCATCAACCATAGAAGTAGACACTTAAGCAGGGTTTTAAATCGTCAGCTTCAAAATGGTACCACAGTGCGTCTTAATGTGTCTTAAATTAATAATTGATAATAATCATCACATTTTATCAAGATTAAAATGATTATATGGTTAATATGATCTTATCTTAGGTCAATCGATAAAAAGGCATAGGGAACAAACATAAAAAGGAATCTAATAGTTCACATTGAGGGGGGCTCTTTATACACTAATTCAGTCATACAGTTTACACTACTGTTTTTTTTACTTCGCTAACTTAAGTATCGGAGAGATTATTTTGGACAACCCTCGACATCGACTTATCATGAAGAATTGTTTAACATCCAAAGACACATGGATAACTTAGCCCTTTAGGAGAAACCTTGCTACCAGGAAGATTCTAATCCGCCTACTCGATCATCCCGAATCATGTTCTCATCAACAGAATGACTTTTGATCGGGCAGTCTATGTGGTCTCACCTCATCAAGTCTCCCACGTTAGTTACAAAGAGATACTTGGATAAGCCCAGACCTTTGGTAGTGGACTAATCGGGTTGACTCATCAGTCAACGATACTCATGACACCATCATTTTAGCGTTAGGAGCGCCGAACATTGCAAGCACATTCTTTTATCGCTCTTCTTGGTGAACATCTTAGACAAGAAGGGCCCATTCTCCCTTTCCCAAGGGGCGAAGGCGAGCCCCGTGCTTACCTTGTTAAAAGCTCTCCTTAAGCTTTGACGCTAGGGGGCTAGGCGCTTATGGCTCTCCACATTTAGTAATATTGCCTCTTGACCCTTTTAGGCCAACGCTCAACCCCCCTCACTTATGGGAGAGACGGAGTCAGACCCTTGATGACTCCCCAAGGGATGCTCCGACGATAGTCGAGACTTAGGAGCTCTTGCCTCGCGAAATAGTAAGATGAAAAGACTCCGAACATTCCTTACTCAAGAATCATTCCAAAGGCGATTAATACATTCCAAAGAGATTTTCATTAAATTGGATAAAAAAAGAGGATCTCAACCCCAAGGGGAAGTCATAAAATGAGAGCTAACAAAAAGAAAGGAGGGTCACCAGGACCTAGCTGTATCAGATCGGAGGAGGCAAAGTTAGAGGAGACGTTGGGCGATCGTCGAATGGATCCTTCGCGGGAGCAGGCACTTCGACATTCGAGAAAAGCTCCGTATAAGGATCCTCGTTGACCTCGAGTTTGGGGTACCTCACCTTAAAGCAACCAATGGTGATCCGATACCCAAACTCGTATGCAGCTTGGCTGGAGCATCGAAGGTCGCATTGGAACCCCTCGGATTCCTTATAGGAGGCTATAACCTTTCTCTCCTGTTCAAAGGCTTAGTTCTTTTCCTCCTCTCAAGCCCCTTTCGCCTCCTCTTTAGACGGATAGCCACCAGCTCATTAGAGTTGGTCGACATCTACTCCCTTAGCTGCCTACTCTCCTCAATGGCCTTGCATAGTTGTCGCCGAGTATCTCTCAATTCTCAGCGTAGGACTTTGACCCACTCCTTAGCCTCCACGACACTCTTTGCGGCCTCGTCTTTAGCAGCAACCATCGCGTCTTGAGCCTCATCCACTTGTGCCTCAACTTCCTCGGCACAGCAGATGGCCAAGCCCATATCCAAGGATAGTTCGGAGGTCTCCACCTTCGCCATCTTGCATGCCTCTTTGAGGCATTGCTCTACCTCCTCAGCTTAATGGCAAGTTCGAGTCAGTTGCAAGGATAACTTTACAACTCGGGCCTTCGTCACCCTCCTCTCTTCTTTAGGCCACTCTGCTTGAGCCCGCAAGGTAGAATTGGCTTGAGAGAGTCAATTGATCAATACCCTTATGTCTAGCAAACAGTTGGCAAATGTCATCATGTAGTGGTGGTGCTATATAAAGGCAGGAGCAAGGTGGTTAAAGAGGAAGACCAAAGAAAATAATAGATATACTCAAGGAAGGGGCCTTATCAGGACTTCATCACGAGAACAAAGGTTAGCTAGTACCTTTGGCAAGCAGTGGTATACTAAGCTAGCCAGGATGGGATTGAGCGACCCCCGACAGTAGGTGGCGGCCAGCCTAACGTCCTCCCACAACCGCTAATCCTCGATCAGTCCCTCCCAACGTGGCTTTAGGGGGGTGCTTGGGGTTGAGCGTAGTAGTAGCGAATGATTTGAATGCAAGGAAGCTCCAGTCCGCCGATGGATCAATAGAAGGAGGAGGCAAAGGTATGACTTGCGAACCTTTGGTGGCGTTATTCTCCTAGGGGGCGGAGAGCTCCTTAGCCGCCTATGCACGGGGTGATGCTACCATAATTAGATCCAAAGATAGGCTCGAAAAAGCTACATGAGGATCCTCCCCCATCAGAGATAATTGCGAGTTAGGGCACTCCTTAATGGATGGCTCCATATGTAGAGTCGCGGCCCTAGGTAATGAGGCAATGTGGGGTTAGATGCTAGTCATAGGTGCCCTGCAAGTCAATCACATGAGTGATGACATGTGTGACTTGACACAATCTTTTTGCTTATTATTATTATTTTATATTTTATCACTTTATATTGCCCGTTGCTTGAATATATTATGATGTTCATGGATCTGTGCAATGGGAATCAGATCGTGATGAGATCACGATAATGAGACCAATTCACCTTTAAACACATATCCTAAATAATCTCGGTCATTGGTTTCTTGAGAGGGACATTGAGATAATTAGACAGATTGGTGTGTAGTATATCCGTCTATATGATGGATGTAACTAGTCTTATAATTGCTCATGTAGGGACATTAGGGATATAATATAAGTACTCATTGAAGAATGAGTTCAATGATTGATCTGCTTACAAAATACTAGTCAGATAACAATTTCGTAGTCCCAATGGTGTATCTGGTCCTTAGACTTGAAACATAAAGGATGTCTTGTATGCGTACTCCACTCTTTGATACCGGACTTATAGGTTTGGAGATTCCAGATCTAGCATAGCCGGCCATCAGGAGTGGTAGCCAACCTTACGAGAACTATTAAGTATTGATAGAGGATTATCCGCTCTCGGTGTCATGATATAAGAGATTATTGGATAGAGATCCACTAATCTAAGAGGCTTGGGTAGTTAGACGGAGATCCAATACCCAATAGAGTACGATCTATTAGGGTTATGTTGATAGGGGACCTTTGTAAATAGGAGAGAACCAATGGTTCATCGGTTAGAGCCTCTCTAGGTTGTCATCTCCTATTCTCCTCCCTTTCTCCTCATCTGATAGTAGGCATGAAGTTTTGAGGAGCATCGTCGCATCCTTGCTATGTGGATCACCATTAGAGAGGAGGATACTTGACCTCCTTTACCCTCTCCTACAAA